TAGGGCCCCAGCTCCCTCTTCCCTCGGACCCAGGAGTCCGGGCCCCCAACCCCTTCCTGATGGTAATGGACATTTCAAACACAGTTATGAGGCCACAGCTGAGTTTCTGGGGACATAATTAGCCTTTAATTCCGTTTCTCCTCCCACCTCACCCACCCTACACCCCTACTCACCGTTTCTTCCATGTGTTATTCTCCTGAGACATTCTGGAGAAGCAAGAATTAGTCAGAGTCCAAACCTAACATCCCAATGGATTCTGCTTCCCTACACTGATCCTAGATCTTCTGGACTCCCGAACCCCACTGCCGTGGAGTCAATTCTGACTCACGATGACCCTACAGGACAGAGTAGAACTGCCCCATACGGGTTCCTAGGCTGTCAGTCTTCACAGAAGCAGATTGCCATATCTTTCTCTTGTGGATTTCAACAGTTGATTTTTCCGTTAAAGGCCAAATGCTTAAAGGCCAAATGCTTAACCGCCCCACCACCAGCTCCTCATCCTAGACCCAGGCAGCCTGAAGCCCAGCATCCTCCCTTGTTTGAGACCCTGAAGCCTGGTGCCAGGGTCTTTTATCAGGAGTTCTGAAGTCCGGTTTCCACTCCCCCAAGTACCTAACTCTCTGGGCCCATCGCACAGTCCCCGACTCTCCTCAACCCGAGCGCCGGAACTCAGGTCTCTGGGCCCTCGAACACCTGAACCACAGTGTCCCTGACCCCAGCACCCACCTGCCTGGGATCCTGCAGGCTCCTCTTCTCCCCTTGTCCCGCCTCACTGAATTGCTTCTGTGGTCAACTTCCAGTCTCTAATCATACCTACTTTTGCCTCTCTTTGGGAACTGGGGACTTGTTCTCTGGGTCTCTGGGAAATAGGCAGGGAAAGAAAAAAGGGGCTGAAAGGGAGGGGAGGGCTCCCACTGGGAACTGTCCTAATTCCTGCCCTCCTGGTCCACCACACTCCACTTCCAACAGAGCAATGACTCCCGGCCACCAAAGCAGCTAGGCAACCCTTCTCCAGGAGTTCTGAATTGGAATGGCATGCAGTGTTCCTTAAAGGGACCCGAGAGAAGACCCATCGCAGTCTCGCTCTACACCTGGACAAACTTATCAAGTGGGCTGTGCAATTGCTACGGAGCTCTGACTTTGCAGCCTTTTCTTGGGAGGAAATGAATGTAAAAACTACAGTTCCCATGAGGCAATGGGGCCAAGATGTCCGCCGAGGTGGACTCATTCTCTACCGGCCTCAGGGAGTTGTAGTTCAAGTCTCTGCTCTTCTTTTTGCTTAACCAAAGAAAGCAAACCCACTGTCATCGCGTTGATTCTGACTTATAGCGACCCCCACTGGGTTTCTAAGGCGGCAAATCTTCCCAGAAGCAGATTATCTCTTCTTCCTTCTGCGAAGGAGCCAGTGGGTTTGAACCGCCAACCTTCTCGGTTATCAGGCCAATGCCTTAGGCACTACGCCACCAGAGCTTCATCTCCTTTTGCTTAAAGGCAGGAAATGTGGCGTCACAGAGCTTGGGCTTCCGAGGAAGAGTAGGCGAAGCTTTCCAGCGACGTCGGCCAGGGGCGGGACCTCCAGAAGTGGAGAAACGGCCCGGAGCCGGTCTCTAGCGTGGACCAGTCAGCCCTCTGGGGGCGGGGCCTGCTGTGAAAATGGGCGTGGCCTAGAGGGGAAATCACCCAGAACGCACCGGAGGTCCTTGCCGGGGAGTACGCCCTCTGCGGTGCTGGACAGGTGAGGGGCTCAGGTATCCAGACTCTTGGGTGCTGGTGAGGTGGGAAGCTGAGGGACCAGAGGGCTGGAAAACTGGGACCCGGAGAAGGATGGACTGGGCGCCAAAACGTCTGGGAAGAGAGGAGGCGGGGCGCTTGGATTCTTGAGTCTGGGGGAGGTGGGGGATAGACGTCTTGGATTCCAGAGTGTGGGGCCCAGGATTCCTGGGTCTGAAGAAGAGACTAAGGGCTAGATTCCTGGGTCGGAGGAAGGAAAAGCTTGGGGCTTGGAATCCTGGGTCCCGGAGGACTAGACGCTTTGAGCCTTTTCTTTTGAATGGATGGGGGGCGGCGCTGGGGGTTCAGACTCCCGGGTCTTGGGAAGGAGGCGGCTCGGGAAACACGTTGTGCACCCCTGCCTCCCACAGACCACGCCGCCATGCCTCCCGCTGGGCCCCGCGCTGCCATCCTGCTGACGCCACTGCTACTGCTGCTACGCACTATTGTAGCCGTGCCCCTGGAGCGGGGGACGCCCAAGAAGGAGGAGAACCCCGCGACTGAGAGCCCCGTGAGTGGCCCTGCCCTGCTCTCCAGCCAGGTGTTTGCCGTGGTCCTACAATTCCCGCGGACCCCTGTGGCCCCTGGGGAGGGCTCCTCTTGGGACTTCCTGGGCCGATGGCGGTTCTAGTTTGCCTGCTATTTGCAGTCCCGGGAGTTTGACTTGGGGCAAAACTGGGGAGGACGCCGATTTTCAAGTCCGGGACTGCTGGGAATTAGACTTCTGAGATGTGGGAGTTCAGGTCAGATTTTAAGTGAAATATGTGTATCACCTACCTGAACCTCCCTGATCTTTTAAGTCCCTTTTCCCAAAAAAGAATATGAAAAAAGAACTACGGTTCCCAGAAGCATCCGGGGCAGGTGATGTTCGCTAGATGAGGGTGTCTTTAACACCATCGCGCTCATGGGAGTTGTAGTTGTAAATTGAACTGCTTATTTTTTAATTCCAACACATATTTGCTGAACCCTTTGCAGTCTTCGTCTTGAGGGAGTTGAGATTTAAAGATCCATTATTTCAATTTGTGGCCTGAATCTTCCTACAGCTTCCTCTTGGGATGGGCAGGTCACATATCTCGTTGTGTGTCATCGAGTCTATCTGATTTACAGTGAGGACATAGGACAGAGTACAACTGCCACATAGGGTTTCCTAGGTTGTCAGTCTCTAAGAAACCAAAGCCTAAATCAAACCCACTGCTGTGGAGTTGATTCCGGCTCACAGCGCCCCTAGAGGACAGAGTGGAACTGCACCACAGGGTCTCCAAGGCTGTCAATCTTCCCAGAAGCAAAGCCCAAACCACACCCACTGCCATCCGGTCAATTCCAACTCACTCAGTGCCTCTAGAAGACTGAGTAAAACTGCCCTCATAGGGTTTCTTTATGGCAGCTGACTGCCTCGTCTTTATCCCAGGGAGTGGCTGGTGGGTTGGAACTGCGAACCTTCCAGTTAGCAGCCAAGCTCCTTACAGAAAACAGTAAACCAGACTCACTGCCCTCAAGTTAATTCTGACTCATAGCGACCCTCATGGGTTTTGTGAGGTAGTAGATCTTTACGGAAGTAGATTGCGCCGTCTTCCTTAGCAGGTCATAAACAGGGAGAATAGCAATATTGACAGCTCCTGGAGTCCTGGATGGTTAAGCACTCAGCTGTTAACTTGAAGGGTGGCGGTTCAGATCCACCCAGAGGCATCTTGGAAGAAAGGCCTGGTGATGTCCTTCTGAAAGGTCCCAGCCCTGAAGACCCTGTGAAGCAGCTGTGTTCTGAAACACATGGGTCACCATGAGAAAAAATCAGCTGGACAACAGCTGCTTTGGATTTTGGTTTAACTGGGTACTGGGCACTGTAGTCAACATTTAACTATATTAACTAACCTGGAGCTCTCATGGTGCAGTGCTTAAGCACTCGGCTACTGACTGAAAGGTCAGCGTTTCGAACCCACCAGCTGCTCCGCAGGAATAAGATGAAGCAGTGGGATTCTGTAAAGACTGACAGCCTTGGAGACCCTGTGGTGCAGTTCCACTCTGTCCTCTAGGGGCGCTGTGGGTCAGAATCGACTGCAAGGCAGTGGGTTTGGTTTGGGCTTTGCTTCTGTAAAGACTGATAGCCTGAGACCCTGTGGGGCAGTTCCACTCTGTCCTCTAGGGGCGCTGTGGGTCAGAATCCACTCCACTCCAGTGGGTTTGGTTTGGGCTTTGCTTCTGTGAAGACTGACAGCCTTGGAGACCCTGTGGGCAGTTCCACTCTGTCCTCTAGGGGCGCTGTGAGTTGAAATTAACTCCATGGCAATAGGTTGTTTGGTTTGGTTTTAAATTAAGTCATGGCAACCCTATGAGGTGGGTACTCTGATTAACCTCACTTTATAGATGAGGAAAAGGAGCCCTGGTAGCACAATGGTTAAGCACTCAGCTGCTAACCAAAAGGTTGGTAGTTTGAACTCACCCAGCGACCATGTGGGAGAAAGACCCGGCCTCTGCTCCCATGAAGATGTCAGCCCAGAAAATCCTGTGGGCGGTTCTGCTGTCACGTGGGTTGCTGTGAGTCGGACTCGACTCAGTGGCCCCCAACAACAGCAAGATGAGGAAACCAAGGGACAGAGTGAGGAAGTAACTTGCCTTAGGTCTAGAGTTGCCAGCTATAGGAAAATATATAGGGCACCCAGTTAAATCTGAATTTCAGATAAATATTGCTTGAAACCCACTTAGACTGAAAAATTACTCATTGTCTGAAATTCAAAATTAACTGGCCATTGTGGCAACTCTACCAAGACCCATATATAATGGCATATTTAGGGGTTGTGCCCACTGTGTTTGGGTGAATAATGGTCCCTGAAGATATTCATGTCCTAATCCCCAGAACCTGTGAAGGCTACTTTAGTGGCAAAGGGTATTTTTCAGGGAGATTAACTGAAGGATTTTGAGATGGAGAAATTAACCCTGGATTATCCTGGTCCTACTGTATCCATAGTGGCTAAGACACTTGCCTGCTAACCAGACGGCTGGCGGTTCAAACCCACCAGCCACTCCTCGGAAGGAAGGTTGGGCAATCCTACTT